TGACTGGGCTGTGTTGAGAAACCTAAGGACGACCAGAATTCACACAGTGTGGGCCTGTGAGAGCAGCTTGGACTGGTGGGAGTGAATCGTGCTAACCACTTTGAATGACCAGCAGTGTCTGGAGATGCTTCAAATGAAAAGGGAGACATTCTATCATATCATCTCAATGCTTGGACCCCACATTGTGAGGCAAGACACTAACATGTGTCGGGCCATCCCACCAAACAAGAGGGTTGCAATGGCCATCATGAAACTGGCCAGCCCATCCAGCCTTTGTTACATTATGCGTGGCTGCCTACATGGTTGGGCTGGCAACTTGTGAGGTATGCCAGCTGCTTAAGGAGATCACTGCAAACAAAATTATCCACCAGATGAATCCTCAGCAAGTCATAGATGGCTTTAATGAGAGGAGGTTCCTGATCTGCATGGGGGCTTTAGACAGCACTCACATCCCAGTGCTGTGCCCTGCGGGGATGGGGAGGACTTTCACAAGCAGGAAAGAATATGCTTCCATGATCCTGCAAGCCATGGTGGTCCACTGGGGCTGATTCATGAACACTTATACTGGATGGGACGGCAGTGTGCATGGTGCATGCTTGTTCAGAAACTCCCCTCTGCCTGGTCTCATGAAGAAAGGACACTATGCACGCAGTGTGGAGGAGACAGTGATCTGTGGTGTTACCATTCCCCAAGTTATATTAGTGGATGTTGCCTACCCTCTAAAGCCCTGGCTTGTGAAGCCTTATGGAGGGGATTTCACTGACCCACAGAAGCTGGTTTTTAACTATTGTCTGAGAAGTTTCAGGATGGTCATGGAATGTACATTTGGCCCACTGAAAGGATGGTGGAGGGCGCTTACATACCGGCTTGATATGGAGAAAAAAATATCATGGCCTTTGTATTTGCATGCTGCACAATATCTGTGAGAGCCTCAGAGAGGTTTTCAAGGAGTCATGGGAAGAAGAAGTGTGGCAGGCAGTGATCAGACAACAGAGACATGTCCAGACAGCAGCAGCAGCACAGGGACTGAAGAGATACCCTCAAAGAGAGGCTGGTTGGGCAACTCTTGTGCGTGATTGTCTGGCAGGATATATTGCTCACAACAACACCTAGGAGTGCTTTGTTCTTTCTCTTGGTTATGTTAAAATAAATTAATTTACACTTTAAACCTGTGTCTGTCTACAGGGATGTGGTGTTATGGATGGAGGGCAGAAGGGAGGATTGTTAGGGGAAGGGGGAGGAAATCTGGACGGGGCTAGGGGTTTGCTGCTTCCAGACTATGAGTGGTTTGGGGGAGGAGAGCATTACGCACCATCACCCACATCTGAATGAGCTCCCCCTCATGTAGGATAAAATGTTAAATATTATAGCTTTTGGTGGGCTAGGTGGGTAGGGACCAAGCTGAACAGCAACCCACATTTTCAAAGGCATTCCAAAAAACATTTATAAAGCAATTCACAACACAGTTCCAAAAGCCATATGTGGCACTACACAAACAGACTGATGGTGTACCTGGGCATGGAATGGGAGGGTTCCAATGGAAGTCCCCACTGGAAACTGTACAAAGATCAATGAGCTTGGGAATGCTGGGAAATGTAGTCCAAAAAAAAAAGTTTAAAAAAAAGCCAGAAGAATTCAACACCACCAACATCAACAGCAATCGCCAATCAACTGGGCGGCAACAAATACTCACCCACCCACTCACCTGTTACTCTAAACCCTGAATATTTTATAATACCATAGCAGTTATCATTGCAGCTATAGTAAATGAAAGAAAAACACATATATTTATAACATGGTAGGATGGGAAGGGAAAGGAATGGGAGGGGAGGATTCAAGTGGTTTGTCTTTAGGATTGGGTCTTTGGGATCACGTAGTGATGGAGAGAGGCCAGACTGACTGAGCATAGGCGGGTGCAAGTGACAAGGATTTTGGGG